ATTATATCAGAGAATCTAGCTGGAATGGAGTAGATTTTAGAGTTAGATTTGTCCGAAATTAGGCTTTATCTAAGAAGTCTCACACATGATACCTGAAATGAAAGTATTTTGAGGGTATTAACACACACACACAAATCTCAAAACACAAGAGGTCAAGCAGAGCTCAAGGGATCTCCATTCCTCTTCCCAACACTTCTCTGCCATTCCTTCTTCCAACATCATGGGTAAGGCTTTTGTCATTTTGCACCTGGCAAACATTACAGTTGTATTTTGATAACCTTCCTGCCTCTATTTTCTTCCTTATCTAATCCACCTGGTACCAGGGGAAGCCCAATTATACTTGAATATACTTGTGTCATACTTTTGATCAAAAATAACTCTTTCTAAAATAAATAAATAATTCTAAACTTCTGTTTATCTTTCAAAATTCTGTATACTCTGTACCTTTAATAATTCAGCTAACTTTATTTCCTATGACCTCTTCTAATTGAGTCAGATTGATCTCTTCCCTTTCCTCTCATATCTCTCTTTCCTCCACCCCAAAAGAAAAGGGTATTGATTCTTGCCTCTATTCATATCACCTGTTGTTTTTGTAATGTGTCATCGAGTCGGACCCGACTCAGCGACCCCTCCTTGGGTTTCTGAGGCAGTATCACTATAGAAGTAGATTGCCCAACATTCCTTCCGAGGAGTGGCTGGTGGGTTTGAACCACCAGGCTTCTGGTTAGCAGTCAAGTGCCTTAGGCACTATGCTACCAGACCTAGTCTCCTAAATATAAAAGGCAGTTTCACACAGTATAAAGAACACACCAAACAGGGCACCAGAAGATGTAAAAAGGTGTAGGGGAGGTGGCTGACCTCCTCTAACTTCACAAGGAGGGAGAAGGATCGAGATCAATAGCACAAGGATCATTCCTATGAGGTAGCAGTTAGACATGCCTCTACTCTCCAAACTTTTTACCAATTCTGATGCCAACCCTCCATCTCATGGCACTTTCTACTTCTCTGCTAGGTTCAATAGTCTGTTGCAATGGCCAGATAAAATTCACAGACAATACACATGATTATGGGGTTTATTAGGGAAGTAATAGGTTGTAATTGAGGATCAGGAATGTTCAGGATACAGTTCTTCAATCAGGATAGCTTGCCCTCAGCCATGCCTGAAGGCAGGTCTCTCCTTAGCTTGGCCTCTAGACCCTATGGCCCCTTAACTCTGCCCTGCTTGGGCAAGTATTACAAAACTCTTTTAGCTCTGCTGTTAAGTGCCCAGAGAGGCACCCTACCATGCCAGCAAGACTCCTGCCCAGAGCCACTCTGCTTCCTTGCTCCATGGGCCAGGAAGCCTGACACTGTCTTATGCCAAGTCTCTAGGTTCTGCTGCTTCTGCTGTCACCATTTCTTTGTTGCTCCTTCTCACCATCTCTGGTGTCACAGCTATCTGCTCCTGAACTGAAGAGGTTCAGGACAGGGATCTCAGGAACAAAGGACACACTCCACTCCTGGGCTCTTCTTTCTTGAGGAGAGTGAGATCCTGCCTTTCTGCCTCAGGGTTGGCTCATTTTAAACCTAGCTGGATGGCAAAACTGACCAATTCCCAAGTGAGGCTTCCATATACCTTATTTCCATGGTCCCACCCCCTACAAGGGTGCCAGGTACCTTATTTACATTATTAGCAAACTATCCAATCCCCTTGGTAGACTACATTTGCATAGTCTCACCAGTCATCTGGTGGGAGTTACAAAGACTATGGCCAGAAGAGCCACACCAAGTAATTCACTATACTACAGAAACCTGGACTTAAGACTTTCCGTTAACCCATATGTGGCCTTGGCTAAGTTATACAATCCTTCCAAGACTCCATTTCCTCATGATATAAAATGCGGACAACAATTTCTTGTCCTACCTACTTCAGAAGTTTTGATGTATGTGTTTTTGAGAACTGGTAAAATAAGGATATCAAATGATCTGAGAAATCCTCTGGTAAAGAAATATGTATAAGGTTGCTTATTCTAGTATTTTCTAAACTTACTTAAGTAGAATCTTTTTTCATGGTATATAATTATCCTTCAAAACGGTGGTCTAAGGAAGACTAGTTTTGGGAACACTGATTTGGTTTAATACTCTCATTTTATATATAAAAATTTGAGATCAATAGAGCTTCAATAACATGGCTATGATCATGTGTCAAAGAAAAATAAGAGTAAGACTTACTAGAAAAAAACATGCAATTCATTTTCAGTCTCTTTTTGAGGAAGGAGAGGCAGTATGCACAACCATTAATCATATAGGCTTTCAAGTCAGAGAAACCCTTTTTTAAACCACTTACTTGATACATAATGTCAAAGTTGGTTTATCTCTATATATCTCTGCTGCCTTATTTGTAACATGAGAATGCTAAGACACACCTCATATATTTGTAAGGACTAGATAACACAACTCACTCACTGCCATGGAGTTGGATCTGACTCATAGCGACCCCTCCTTGGCTTTCTGAGGTGGTATCACTATGGAAGTAGATTGCCCAACCTTCCTTCCAAGGAGTGGCTAGTGGGTTTGAACTGCCAGCCTTCTGGTTAGCAGTCAAATGCTTTAGGCACTATGCCAACAGAGGTCCTAAGGACTAGATAAGATGCCTGAAATTATTTGTAAACATTTTTAGTATGGAAATTACTAGTAAACACTGACATTTATAGAAATTCAGAGGTGAAATGTGGCTGATTATGTCTGGAACACAGACTCTGGCCCCTGATCATCCTCTGAGGATGAACAAAGGACAGTCAGCCTAAAACTTTAACTAAAAAGTTCACTAAGTATCTGCAATATGTGCTAGGTGTTGTAGTAGTTTGAAAGTATTAGATAATAGGTAAGACATGATATCCAGGAAGTAAAGCCACCTTCTATCA